ACCCTTTGGGAAAACCAGTGCGTTTTCTGGTTTTTTTTGGTAAAACGACATGACGGAAGGAATAACCGGGAGGTGTCCCTGTTTGCAAAAGACGTAAAAGTTGAGAAAAATTTCACCGATCAAACCAGGCAGAACTAAAAGGGAAAACTGGACAGGCTGCAGACCTGGCCCCACAATTGGCTCCGGGAGTTAAATTTCCCACCAAGGGGCAAAGCAGAAGTTTGGGAAGGGGGGAAAAACCGCGGGAGGGAAAGTACAGCCCTAGGAGGCCAGAGACTACAAACCTCACTCAAGGAAAAAAGGATTTTGGGGGTTTAGTATAACACCAGGAAACTCTCCGAAGCGAACATCAACCAAATAACTGTTTGCACTTTAGGGGCCCTACCCAAACCTCAAAACAGCATTCCGACATCTTAATAAGGAATCTTTCGGGACCCCGTACAACCGTGTACTTTTAGGCCCAAAATTGGAGAAAGCGCACCATTTTGGAAACCCCACCCCTACCCAAAGGAAACGAAAGAAACTAGGAAAGTGAAAAGGTTTTTGAACAAGACTATCCCAGAGCTAAGAGGGTATGGCCCCTACAGGAGGGGTTAAAGGGAAATAAACCTGACACACGGGAGGACGGGAAAAAGGATAGGGGAACTTTAAATAACGACAAATTCCGGGGGCCCTGGTAAAAAATCTCGAATTTAAAAATTAAAAAAAACATAAAAAAAGGCATTAAAAACTGGAAAAATTTCCCAAAAGGCTCCTTTTTTATTCATGTAAGGGTTTTTTAAAAACCACCCAAATTGATTTTAAAAAAGTTAAAAATTTTTAAAACAAGCAAGCCCCGGGGTCGACGGGAAAAATAATTGAATCTTGTTTCATAAAAAGCATTTTTGAAAATAATATGAATATTTCCTTTGGTTTATATAAATTAGATCCATTTATAATTAATAGAATTTGGGGAAAAAATTTAAAAATAAAACTGGACAAATAATTTTTTAAATTTTTCTTTGGGGAGAATAGCTTTGGGGGGAGGGTTTTGGGAAAAGGGCCTATCCAAGTTTTGGTCAGCGCGGGGTCAGGTTTTAAAAACCCTTGTGGGGTCGATAGTGAGGGGGCTGGCCGGACCCGTTTATATACTTTCCTTGGAGCTTTTACTTTTAATTTTTTTCCTTATAAAAGTGAGTAGTCACGAAACGGGTTTTTGGGGAAAAATTTTCTTTCTTTCAGAAATGGTTGGGTTTTTCATATTTTTAAATCAAACCTTTTTTCTGTTATCTTATTTTCAAAAATTTTTATATAAATAAAATATATATAATTTATATATAAATATATTATATAATAATTTAAAATATAAAATTTAAATTATATATAAATATATATATTTTATATATATATATATATGTATATATATTATATGTATATACATAAAATATATACAAGGAGGGGGTTGAAACACCCCTTCCCCCCCACAGAGGGGAAACCAAAATTTGCGGGAAAAATTTCTTTTCTGTTAAAATTTTCCTTTTAAAAGTTTTTTACTGCTTCAAAGGTTTTTGGGTGCAAAAATTGAAAAAACTTACAAACTTGAACCAAACTTTTACAAAATTTTACAAAAACTTTCAAACAACTTCCCCTAAACCCAAAATTTTTAGACTCTGATTTGTCTGGTTCCCCCTCAAATGGAGGGAGGGGGGGGGGGGGGTGAGGTGAATTTTTTAATTTCCCGGGAAAGGGGATCTTGATCCAAGGGAAAAGGGCTCGGCCCCTGGCTTTTTTTCCCAATTTCAAACTTTACACCCTATTTTCTCAGGAGTTGTTTGACCCATAAGGGGTTTAAAAAGCTTCCTTTTGAATAGCAGTAAAAATAAAAAAACAACAATAACAAAAAATAATAAAAATATTAAAAATAATAATAAAAAAAATAATAATAATAAAAAATAAAAAATAATAAATAAATTTTTAATTAAATTTTTATTATTTTATTATTATTATTATTATTATTATTATTTTTATTATTATTTTAAAATAATAAAAATAATTTTAAAATAAAAAAAAAATAAAAAAATAATAATAAAAAAAATAATAATAAAATAATAATAAAAATAAAAATAATAATAATAATTTAAAAAAAATAATTAAAAATTTAAAAACAACAACAATAATAATAATAAAATAATAATAAAATAATAATAATTTAAAAATAATAATAATAATATTAAATTTTTATTATTATTAAATTAAAAAAATTTTTAATTTTTATTATTAAATTTTTTTAAAAAATAATAGTAATAAAAAAAAAAAGTAAAAAAAAAAATAAAAATAAAAAAAAATAAAAATAAAAATAAAAATACTTTAAACAAAAAATTTTTCTTTTTCGCCCCAACAAAAAAAAACCCAAAATTTTTAAATTTCCAAAAAAAAAACAAAAACAAACTTAAAAAAAAAAAAATTCCCATTTAAAAAAAAACAAAAAAAAAAAAAAACCCCAATCCCACAACCAAAAACA